TATATATATAACTCAAAGGTGATTGACATAGTGATCTATCAACGCACAGCCCAAACCACTGGACGGATCGGGCTGAAATTTGGCATGCAGGTAGATGTTATGACGTAGGTATTCGCTAAGAAAGGATTTTGATTAATTCTACCCCCAAGGGGATAAAATAGGGGATGAAAGTTTGTTTGAAACTTTGTCAATTTTAAACCGATCGGGCTATAAATACGTATATAATATATGTACATAGAACACAGCCATCCCCTAAGAAAGGATTTTGATAAATTCCACCTCTAAGGGTAAAAATTAAAGCGAGCGAAGCCGCGGGCAAAAGCTAGTAATTAATACAGCGTCATCTAGTCTCAATCTAAGTAGAGTTTGTGTTACGGATGCTGGACTACTGATAGAAATAGTTAAATATTTTTAGTAAATACATAAGCAAAATGTACTACATGAATTCATACAGCGCCATCTAGTCTCAAGTTCGGCAGAGACTGTGATATCGGTACTGCACTACTGATACTTTGATATATTTTGTAATACGTATATAATATATGTACATAGAACACAGCCAGACCAATACAAACAATCATATTCATGAATGCAAACATTGCATCGTGCGCGGAATCGAATCCGCGACTTAACCGAGGTGTGCTAAACCGCTAGAGACTAAGACACCGAAGCTGTCATGGCCACCATCATTATCTGCTTCGTCCTTATCCCATTGTAACTATATGAATATAGAATAGTGCACCCGCTTGCGCTTACGGTATACGATGGGGCACTAGTGAAAGATGATAGAATGAGCATAAAGTGAGGTCAGTGTTCCCTTCATGGCGAATTCTCCAGAAATTAACCATAACGGTTTCCAGGAGGAACCGTAGAGGTCGCACTGTTATGTTACATTTTTTATGGATGATAATCATGCTTTCTTTCCTTAATGCTTTATAGTAGTGGACATTCCATTGTATCCATGAAAAAGTTAGGTATACATATCTCTACATGAGACTATCTAGTCTCCTTTCTGTTTATATGACTCTTACTTAAATAAAAAAAAATGTCGACAGGTCATTAGTGCTTTTTGCATATTGTAACATTTTTTTTTATTATGCAGGTACCAATTTCGTGATGACCTGCCACACTTTCTCTTATACATATTTATTGTTATTGCCTTTTTATCCGGTATCTTATGATAATGTTTGCTCGCATGTAATTTGACACATTACGTAATGTTTGTTATAATTTACGGTTCATCTTATACTCCGGCCGAATACTGTAATTATCTTATTATCGAATTATTAAAAGCCTGAACTGATGCATCCGGTTGTCATATTGGCTATAGTAATATCATAAATGCAAAAGTATGTCAGATTTTTTACCTTTTAAGATTAAATTACTGAACTAATTTAAACTAGTGTGCCTTTTTTTATTTAAAAAACCAGACAAATTTGTCGGCTATTTCTTAACAAAAAGACTACTAGCCAAATTTCTTGTTTTAGTCGGCGTAATCATATGCTTCTTTACTTTATCTGCATTCGTCATTTGGTGGTAAAATTTCAAAAGAGAAGTAATCTTAAAGTGGTCACTTTGAGTTTATTTGAATCCAGAATATGTTTATTATATTCCTTTTTATGGATTTCTTGTAAGAGATTTTGAGAGAAATTCCGGTATTTTAATTTAGGACATAATTTTATCTATATCGTTTATTATTGCCTCTCAAGTAACGTAACTAATACAGTAAGTGAGCATAAATAATATTTTTTTCTTAAATGCAGTGCACTAAGTTAAACCTTTTTTTGTTAGGTAAATCGATTATGGAGATCCGTTTGTCTCGGGGATTGGACGATCATTATAGGATATATAGGATTCCTAACGACTAAAAATCATCACAGTACTCTTATAGTACTGGAATAAAATCACCGTGGAGCATTGTATATAACCACTACCGTTGTATTTAATATTATTGGGTGCAGAAACTGTCGAACAGAGGTGCCAGGGGTTGTTAGTAATGGTAAGTGATGATCCCATTGATAGGAAGTCACCTCGACCTACACGTGATTCTCCCTGAAAACTATCGTAACTATTCTTGGTGAATACACAACGATGGGTTAGTTGGTCATGATCACCATGAGATGCTATCATCTTCCACCAACAATACCGTTAGCGTAGGCGGATATATAATACCATTATCACTCATTACAATAAATAAACTCAAAAATGTATACTCAAAAAATATTTTTTTGTATCCTTAAAAGTATAATTTAGTTTTTTTTCACCTGGCGCTAAGTCGTGCTATGGTTAGATGTTTTTTAGTTGATTGATTGCTGTAATATTAAAAAATCATTAACTAAAATAATCACTTATTCACTTAGCTTAATAGTACTTCATTTCGCAAATCATTTGCAGATGGGTGAGGCAACCGCCGTTCGCTATTTTAAGATTTAAAAATCATCTTTACAGATATTGTATTTCTATTCAGTCAATCATAATGGTCTGCAGTAGCAGTTTATGAAGTTAGTTATTACCCGTGTCTTTGTCTGCTTTTTTGAAAGAGAAATGAAATCTCAAAGATTTTAATTTCATAAGATAGACATTATGCTTGGTAAGGTCTCCCTCTTATCTAATGTATAAAATTCTCATGTCACAGGTTTCATGTTTATACTCCTCCAAAACGGCTTGACCGATTTTGATAAAATTTTATACGTATATTCAGTAGGTCTGAGAATAGGTTTATGACTAATTTTTATACCCTTATGTGTAAAGGCTCATCCCAAAAATTTATTTTTTATTTTTTCGGCAATTTTTTTATTTTTATTTTCATATAATATTTATAAGAAGTAGAAATACATAAAACCATAAATCTTCCCATTTATCACCAACCACATTTTTTTAATAGCGATATTAATTTATATGTCAAAACAACGTTTGTCGGAACAGCTAGTTTTTTTATATAATTTTCTAATGCCAAACAAACAGACGGTCTATCCGGCCCATGATGGTAAGCGGTTACTGTCACCTATATACATACATACAGAACTACGGATATCACATCTGTGTTACCAAGCGTAGCCATTACAGAGGACTAAGATGTAACATCTCTAATCCTATAATTTCACTTCTCTATGTTTAGTCACAGATTATAGAACCATGTAATACACGGTTCATTCTGACAGTAGGCAGATATTTAATATTCAAAGTGTACCAATTCGGTGGGATGATAAGGTGTATTATTATCGCACACGATCATTGTTGCGCAACGGACAATTTCTCGCAGTTGCACTCGTAACAGTTCGCAGGCCCCGCCCGATGGCCGATTTACACGACCCCGTGTAATCATACTTACATAGCTTACATATACATAAACTAATTATGGGCTTACAAACGAATGCTAATTCGATTGTAAAGCTTCCTTTTTTGTGTATGTATATTTTACGTGATAAGTATTTTAATGGTCCTTTTTGAATATACTGCCGTGTTGATAACAATTTTTTTGGATCACTATAAAATTATGTTATAGTTAAATAGACACAAACACAAAGTATACTCTTTCATTTATACACCTTTAGTATTAGATTTTTTTGAGTGTTTGATAATCTTTACATAGTATAAAATGAAGCCGCTGTCTGTTAGGTCCTTAGATCTAATTACATGTTAAAGAGATACTTTAAACTTTGCATTTATTGCAATGTAGTTATTACCTTTTTACATTACAAATGTAATTTTTAGCAGTGGATAGAGTGATTCCAGAGGAAGGTTCATATGTATTAACATATGTATATCTGTGCGAAGTCGTGGCGCGTAGCTAGTCAATAATAAATGCGAAATTTTGTCCAAAGTTCAAACTTGTCCACATTAATTAATTTGGAAAAAAATGCTGTTCTTGTGGCTATTTGTGTTGTTTTGCGTGAAATATTAGATGCACTGCTAATATATATTCTGCACACGAAATTGTCTAAAACAGAATATTACTTCTGATAACTTCAGGCAGTCAAACAATGTATGGATGTATATTTTTTTAATCTTGCATAATGCAGAGGGATTATTATTTTTTTGGATAAAAATACCACCCTATCGATGCAACAATTCATAATGTTCCTATTGATATTTTAGTCACGGAAGATTAGAAATTAGTTCCAACTGTTTACGAGACACAAGATTAATTATAGCGTATGACGTGTCTAAACTAATGACCATTACAGGCAAAATATTGCGTATTACAGTAGCAAATATTTCACAACGATAGAAAATTGTTAGAAGATACGTTACATTACCTAATTACATCTAGAGAGTCACTGAATGAGTTGGTGTGATCACGCAACCAGCCAATGAGCTATGATTTACAATTCTTTTGTAATGTGCTCTGCGCCCGCGCACCTGGATGTGATGATTTAATAACGGTCCGAAGTATTTCGCAGATTATAAAACACAGATAGCTAGTACATAATTAGTGCACTTTGCGTCTAAATATAGTTATTGCAGTTAACAAAATCAGATTAGAGAACAAAATAAAATCAGATAACAAAATAACTGAGTTTATTTTTTGTATTTTCTACTTCAGTGATATTAATGTAGACAATAGACATATACATTCAGTTTTTAAATGTGATGAATATTTATTGCTTAAAATGTGGTGGCATATTTAATTTTTAAGTCAAACAATTTGACTTTTCTGAAATGCAACAGACAAAATGAATAAATAAATAATATCTCAGGACAATTCACACAACGCCATCTAGTCCCAAGCTAAGTAGAGCTTATGTTATGAGTAGGTACTAGACAACTGATACTGATAAATATATGGATACATTTTTATTTTGTAAATACACATATTATACATAGAAAGCACCCAGACCGATATAAACAACTGTGCTCATGAATACAAATGTTTGTACCGTGTGAGGAATCGAACCCAGTACCATCGGATAGTACAGTAATATGCTAAACCACTAGACCACCGAGGCTGACTTTTTGGTTACTTACTTATTTGCTTTAATATTATATAGTAGAGTTATATGATTTACACTAAAGTGAATGGAAAACAAGTTTATACCACTGTAATGAATATCAGGAACTGTAATGTAAAGACATTAATAATACCATCGATATCATGATATAAATCATGATGTCGATCTACAGCGAACATAAAATTAACTAGTATTTTAAGTTCGCTACTTGTATAATAATTTACAATTTCAAATATTTAACAATTATTAATAATCTCTTCAGATTTTTCCTGTTAAGGATCACTAGTTTTATAATATCATCGATATTAATTGTGACATTTCTCTCATTTTCAGATATTAATATGTACGGTACTCTCAACTACGTGCGCCGAACCGGAACCGAAGAAATATAAGCCTGAAATAAAAGAAAAGGATAAAGAGGCAGATTCAAGTTTAACAGAGGAAGAACGGCAGTTTTTAAGAGAAGTTGAAGCCAAATTTGGCGTTAAGGATGATGTTTTGAATGAAAGTAAAAAGAATAATAAAGAAAAACCTGAAGAAAAAATAGAAGACAAGTCACAACTAGAAGCTATTAAGCCACCGTTTCCAGCTGTAATTGCAATCGAAATAGTTAATGATACAGATACTGATACACAATCTAAAGGAAAGCGAACAATTGATGCTAATCTTGGCTATGGTTATAAAACCAATAATGGATACTCATATACGTATTTAGGGAAATCAGGACAAGAAAAAGGAAAGTTTATGATTTATCCCTATTCTCAAGAAGATATTCCACCTCCAAATCCAAGAGACTATCAATCACAAAATTTACCAGCGAATGTTGAAATTCAACCATCTCGTGCTTTTGAATTGGTCGAGCAACAATCTTATCAGCAGGCAAAACAATCATCAGATCCAAGAACTAATTACGATACAATCAAAGGATTAGTATCACCTCCTCCAGCTTATTCAGCTCCTGATCCAATACAAACATCAACTCCAACTACTACTCTATACACTACTTACAATGGGCAAGGACTATCAGATTTAAGTGGAAAATTTCCTGTTGTAATGCCAAACTATTTCATAGATTCATCACAGCTGTTGAAATATCCCCAATACCAAAGTGCAGGTATAACTCAGGATCATTTGCGTGCACAAGGTGCTCCAGTTCAGCAAAGAGTGGTTCCAGTTTTAGTTTTAAGAATCCCAAGCTCCTACCTTAAAAACCCCACAGCGGAATTATATCCAAATTTACCTCAGAACTATCCCTTATCTCAGTACCTAAATCATGTAAATTTGCAAGAAGTAGTTAACAATTATTTTAAGAAAATAGGATATTCTGTCGCACCTCAAGTAAGCACATATCAAAATACTCATGTTCCTGAAACTCTACCAGTACCAGTTTCAACGCCTGTAACTAATTATGAACCACAGACCTATGCCACTCCTTATGTACAACCGTCATACACTCAAGCTGATGTTTCTGGTGTTCAGTATTCAGCAGTTAAACCGGTAATGGCTAGATATCCTCAAACATATATGCGGCCACATTATTATATTCCACCACCTCAATTTACTTACCAACAACCTGCTCATTCCGCTTATCAACAACCTATTTACGTCGCTCAACCCGTATACCAACAACCTGCTCAACAGTATCAATATACGTACCAATATGTACCCAAATCTATTCAACAACAAGCTTACTATATCCAGCCACAGTATCATCAATCTGAGCAACAAGTAGCCTCACAAGAGGCACAACAGGAACAGGCTACTGTTAGTCAGGAAACAAATGTCCAAAACTCAGCCGGTCAGGTGGAATATGGAGTTCCCCAACAAGAAACAGTCCAAGTAACTCCTGCAACTCCGATTACTGAACATGGTACTTCAGAACCACAAACAGTTGAATTAAATGCAGCAGCTCAACCAGCGGTAGCCCAATATGAAACTACTAACTCAGTTTCTCAAGAATATGGCGTTCCGAAACAACAAAACGTGGAATACACTATAAGACACGCAGCATCTCCAGATCCAGGTCCTACTAAAGTAACAATCCCCGTGTATACTGTCCCTCAACATACAATAACTCAGCAATATAGTGTACCTCAACAAGTTGTTCAAAAGGAGGTAATATCTGTGTATCAGCCATCACAATCAGGACATATACCTCGTCATAATTTTAATTTACACACGGAGGCTGGAGCGACAGATACACAAAGTTATATATATAAAAAACAAGTGACTCCTGATAATGCTGAGAACTTAGTATTGACTGAGAACTATCCTAGTAAAGATCACACAATCGCCACAGTTTTACCGCTTAGTTACAAGCTTAATAAAAGGCCTCAAAGTGCAGCAGTCCAATCTGTCAGCTACGTAACTCCGATGCCGTTTTCTTCTAAATATCAGTCTCAGTATAGAATAATGGTACCACAGATGATATTCAAAACTGCAACACCTGAAAAAGTGACGTATGTAAACTCGCAATCTCTTCCCTACAATCAAAATAGTAGTCAAGAACAAAATCCAGAAGCAGAATACACAGTACCTGCCCACTATGTACCTCCTGTAGGCAAACAGAGGCCTCCATATTACCCTAGAAATTATCATTCTCATCCCAAACGAATGGCAAAGTTAGAAATCAAGCCAGAAAACTCGAGGAAGCACGTTGAAATACATGAAAGGAAGAAATCCGTTTAGTTACTTTTAATATAGATATATGTATCATTTGAAACAAACGATATATTTTCAAAAAGGGTTACCTGTAAACAAAAAAAATATTGTACAGAATTCAATATAGTCTGTAAGAAGTTGTAAATATAGTGTAATTAATTAGTAAGTATAGAAAGATAACTATAGTAAATAAATTAATAGGAGATAGGTTATATTAAATATCGGAATTTAATTGGAATGTCGTAAAAATCAAGTCACATTTCGATTTAATTACAACCTCTATTTGTATAGAGGGGCAAAAAGTATCTTCTTATTTACTATATCAAAAACGAAAGACAGAAAGAAAGAGAATGCTGTAGCAGTTACAGATAGAGAGGTAGAATGTATGAAAGAATAAAATATATTACAAAAACCTCCTACTCATATGAACTATGTGCATGAAATGTTTTGTTAAATACTGTCAATATGTCTGTAATACATACATAGTGTATTATTTTATTTAGAAGAAGAATTTAAAAGAAGAAATTATAAAGAGATTTTAATGGCTTAATAAGCGCACAATATTTTCATTATTTATTTTTTGTATTAGAATAATAATAATATGGTAATTTCTTATTCATTACAAATATCTCTGTTAAACGGTATACAAATATTTTTACATGTGATTTTTGACCAGAAATCGAATTTATTTAAAAAAAAAGATAAACTTCTAATATTAACCATTTATCCGTCGATATTCAATTTGTAACGTATTATTATTATATTATAAATGAGATGATATTGAATTATTTATTCCTAACGACGGTTGAAACGAGGCTGTTTTGAAGTGCAATATTTTTTAATTAGGCAATACTGATATGATGTGATGTGAACTTCAATAAATATTATTACCAGTTGTTTAATCATTGTCACCAAGTTCTTATTTCTAATTCTTAGTTTCCTTTAATTATTTATTTTATTAGTATTATAGTGATGGTGAATAAAATTTGCTTGTTTAAGCAAGTTTTTTTTGGTCCTATCTAAAGCTGTTGGCTGCAGCAGGCCTTTATAGCTTCACTGGACGAATTGTTAAGCGAGCATGCTTTTTGCTTATCATATTGACTGAATAAGACTTCTGCATTAACTGGAAACAATTGTCACAAAAGAACACAACTAATTACGAAAGTAATTTCAGTAAATCCGTTCAGTAGCTTGCGTGAAAGAGTAACAAACATACAACATACATACATACTACAACACCTTTGCGTCTATAATATTAGTAAGGATACATTAACAAAATATACTAAGTATATCTATAAGTTGTCGAGTATCCATAACACAAGCTCTGTTTAGCTTGGGACTAAATGCCTCAATGATTATTATTATAAATCAGGTGTCTAGTACCCACAACATAAGCTCAAGGACAAGGACCTAGATAGCTGTGTAAATTGCCCTAGGTTATTATTTAATATTATTATTATAAATACATGTGTTGTCAAATAAAAAAAGAATCATCAGTACTTATAAACGAGCTCAATGAAGCATTAAAACGGCTGCTTGAATAGAGTTGTCTTGGTCATTTAATGTCTAAGTAAGGTACATATAAATCAACCGTGAATTTATCACTTTTTTCAATCGCTAGATAAGTAATGTCCCTATGTATATATGTGATTAACTGTATCGTTTTTATGTTAATTGATCATGATGATGTCGAATATTAAAATACGAGCTGTGGTTTAATCATTTATTAATTAACAAATGACTTGTGTTAATTAATGTTCGCAGTTGTCAAGTCTGTACACTGATTTTTCTTAAAATCAACCGTATTTTTTATAATAATAGCTTGTGTTATGGGTACTAGACAACTGATATAAGTACTTAGATTATTTTTTATAAAATATAATATACATATATATAGAAAACACCACACAAAGAGTCATGAATACAAATGTTCGTACCTTGTGGGGAATGGATCCGCGACCATTAGAAGTTAAGCGGTCTGCTAAATCGCTAGACCACAAAGGCCGTCAAATTTTAACATTCAAACAGCTACTGAACTATTAAAGCAAGCTGCTAACATAGAAATATAGAATTATGCAAGACACAGGTACTCACGCATATGACTATGTAAGTACAAAGTTTCTTCTGAAAATGTGTAAAGCTAATTAAAAACATCTATGTTTAAGTACAGATTAGACAATATTTAAGTAAAGAGCGTGTACATAGACACACTTAATCAGCATTAAATTTAATATATTATCTATATACAATTAAATTGTTGCGATTTAAGTTTATTATTCACGCTTTTATTTATTTATTTTAATTTAAGTTTATTATTTATATTTCGAATTAAAAAAATCAATATTAGAACTTACATTATATATGCGAGTACAATCTGCATTGATAAGACATCAACTGCATCGTACAGGCGCGACCAGTTCGAGGCAAGTTATATTGGTAACTATAATAGCTGTATCCGCAACTTAGTCCGCGTGGAATTTATCTTTATTTTTCTAAAATAAAAGAATTTTTATAAAATAAAATTAGCCGAAGTTACTCCTTATTACATCAGCTACCTGCCAATAAAAGTCCTGGCAAAATCAGTCCTGCTATTTCAGAGATTAGCCGGAACAATTAGACACAGATAGACAAAAATTGTACATATTTATATGCATCTAGTAAAAAACGGTTATTTCAATATTACAAACAGATACTCCAATTTTATTTATATGTATAGATGTATAGACAATACATAGTTTATGTTATAATTGCATCCACGTTTAATTTCAATATAACTATAAGCATTTATGACATTCATATTATGCTTGTGTTTGAATTATGCACGTAATAAAAACTAACAACAACTTTATTTTACTAAAATAAGTTTTAAAAATGTAATCTACAGGCTTCAGGTTTCAGATTTGTGCATTATAAAAAAATAATTCTTAACACATTAAAGGGGACAGGTCCTTCAATATGTTTATAATAATTAGGTATTTAGACATTTACGTTTACATTCTAATATACAGTAATAAAATACATTACCCTCAATTATAGAATTTTTATTTATTAAAAGGGCTCAGGTTACTAATATTATAAATACCTTACAGAATAACATGTGAATTAATGTTATAATAGTAATATAAAATTGTCTCTGTGGTCATGGCACTGACGATGACAATCTGCAACGATAGCGCCGATAGACCACTCCCTTCGGCTAGTAGTTAATTTATAGACTATATGTTATTCTGATGCATATTACTGTAATGTTTCATCAAAATCCGTTCAGCAGTTTTTGCGTGAAAGAGTAACAAACGTCCATCTATACTTACAAACTTTCAGGTTTATAATGTTAATACGATAAATTATATTTTATATTGTTTACCTACCTTTATAACCATCATAGAATGATAATGCGTCTCAATAATTATTCGTAATTACAGTAAATGCGTCTGTTTGGTATATGATGGTATCTCTGGGCTTACTCTAAGAACTGAACTCCCTCAGCAAATAGAAGTTTGGAAGACTTCACAAGGAATTATCCATGAAGATATCGTTACTCAAAACTTAACTCTTAACTTAATCCCTCTCAACTTCTTAGCAAGCAAAGTTACTTGCTAACAACTTTCTTGTGTTTAAAAAGCAAGTTTCACTTAGTAGCGACATCTGTTATTGCATATAAATAACAGTAAGCTATAAAATTGGTTTACTTTAGTTTATTTAGTTGTAATGTTTAAATGAAGATGGCGCTATTGTGACTCATAAAATGAATAACCGAAATGGTAGTTTTAGTATTTTGTTATATACTGTTTTAAATTTGACACTGTCATTTTTTATATGTATAATTAGTAAAAATCACGGGATCTTATCCACGTTTTATACTTATTGAGTTCCCGATATTTTGGCAGTGTTGCATTGGACAGCGGGTAGATGGTAAATAAAATCTTTTTATGGGATAACATATGCAGTATTTTGTTACGCTTGAATTTTTTATTTTTTATTGATGGTAATGGAATGGTAAACTCGCCTGCGTTAAAGTTATAATAATATAAAATAGTACACTAAATTTTATTTATAAAATCATTGTATCTCTGTAAATTTGAAATGTAAAATATTTTACGGTAAATTCAGTGCCTACATATATTAAAATACTAGCTGACTTCGTCGGCATCACACTTACTTAACATTTATCATTATATGTATTTCGCCTGGCTTACATAATATCTTTTTAAATTTTACCTTATGTAGTATTCTGATATATAAGCTATTACTGTAAAGTTTCATCAAAATCCGTGCTGTAGATTTTGCGTGAAAGAGTAACGAATATCCATCTAAACATCTATTCACAAACTTTCGCTTTTATAATAAAATAACTAACAATGATGTAAAATAACTGACATACCTACACTATTACATATGTACCTTAGACCTTTGCACTATGAGGTCTCAGGTTAGATTCCCTGTGAAGTTTTATGTACACCAAGATTAAGTTAAACTTTGGAGTTTAATATGGATAAGCTTTCGCGATACACATAAAACCTGCGACAATGTTAATAGGCTGTCATTTCATAAATAGTAATGAAATGATCTTTATGGTAATTTACAGCAGGGTTGCCAATTCTTTCTACATCGGCATATTTCGATGTATGAAGGGAGGGCAGTGATACATCATACATATATATTTTTATCTAAAAATGTAACTAATGTGTATAAGAATTTACTATTATTGGTGAACTACCAATTTTTAACTGTTTATCTGTGTGTTTGTGCGCGCTAATCACATAAACGGTTTTGCGAGTTTTCAATAATGTATAAGAATAAATAAAATTGAAGTGTCCGTTAGCAATTTTAAATTAGCAGCTTTTCAATAATATATTTGAATGTAGTATAGACAAATATAGTTGATATCTATAGATCTCACTATATAAATATATATCAGTTTTTTTTTTCAGTTTTAGCCGAAGATTTTTTTTATTTTTTTTTTATTTATCTATTTACTTAATACAGAAAACATGTGTACTAATTTACTGAAGAAACGATGATATTCA